TAAATGTCTACTAGGCACTCGTTGAACCTCGAAGATTACCGATATATCAAATGGTGACATTAACATCCAGTTATTTGTCAGTCCTTACGTTGCGTAAGGTTCTGACTGAGCGGAAATAAAGCTTACTTTTATTCAATGACTGCCACAGCTGGCGTCTGAATTAGATAGGACTATCCTCGCTTCAACTGATATTAGGCCAAAAACCAATAAAAAAAAACTCCCACGCAGACTGCAACCGTCGTACTCCATAACTTAGTCAAAAAGCTATGAGTGAATAATTCTAGTAACGCCTAGTGATAATCGTTTGAAAAATAACAAACGTTCTAACCATTTCTATTTCGGGGGGAAAAGGCGTCTTTTGGGTCTACCGTTAGCACAGCATTAAAAATTGAGTTTACTCAAGCTTATACCAATATCTAATAAAGCCCCTATTAAAAACGCGCGCTTTAATTGCATACTGTTTAGAACGTGCATAAAGACCCATTGTTACAACTAAAGAAAAACTATTTATATATATATATATATAAAGCACAAAATACAGCCTGTACACTATGATACCTTAATGCATTTCCAACAAATAGACTAATTAGTCATTGTGTAGATATTTATAGACATATACCGTTAGACACGTGTCGTTTAGGGCGGAAAACAATGAACCTTGTCACAACAGCGACCTGATAACCCTCATGTCATTAGCTAGATTAAATTCAAATTTTCAAAAAACTACGCCAATAGTGGTTCGAACTGGGTGTCTCCGAATCTAAACGATGATGACCACATCAGAGGAGTAGTCCACTGAATGACAGTTTTGAGTTTCGGGTCTAACCCATCTAGCCAGTTGCATCGGGGCTTCTTGTGTCCATTATATATTAGAAACAGGTTTTAGCTTGCTTTATTTTGGCAACGATGGAAAAGCAGAAGTGTCCACAAATACTAACCTGTACTTGTAGCGTTTGGCCACGGGCGCCTGCGAAGCAAACATCTTAACAAAAAGAACCCTTGTGATGTTTACAAATAGAATAAAATTAACGACAATTGACAGGGTAATCGGACCACGGATGATCCATTCATGCCACCCAATTTTATTCGTCGTCCAGCATCTGTAATTTCAATATGATAGACAAAACCATTTAACATTCAACATATTTTTTCTAACTCATGATTGAGCACTAGTTTGTTTTTTTTTTGTTATTAACAATTTAAAGGAGGGCAAACCCCGAACGTAGATTTAGAGTATGACGACTGTTGATATTTTTTAATATTAAAAAAATTCCTAAATAAAATAAAAATACAAACAGCAAGCATAGATAGACGTTATATATGTCTTTATCCATATGTTTCTGTTCAACTTAATGAACAGTTAGGGGTTAGGTTGTTCTAACTTTGCGCAGAGGATGGTGCTTTGCATGTTAATGCTTTCCCCTTTGCTTAAACGAATGGCGTCACACAGTTCTCAAACCTCATGAATTTTTCCAGTAATCTACAAAATAGCACCATTCTTCAACAGAGCTACTTTATCCGTTTAATCCAATTCCTTGGATCCTGATCACAACAAGTGCAGCCGAAATGTCCTACGCTGATAAGTGGGCGCCTCTGATCTAGGAGACGTTTAGTGATTGATTTTTTTTTCCCATGAACAACGCTTCTTCAGATTCAATGGAAGTGTTCAAATTCCTTAATAGCCGTCTCCATTAAGCAACGTGATTGACCACTGCGTTCCATCTAATAGCAGGCACGAATCACACATATGGGGTCTTGTTGTTTGCTCAAATAATTGTTGGGTTAGAGAATATTCCATTTGTATGTTTTTGGAAAGTTCATTGGAAAAATTCTTGATATAGCATGTTTATTTCCTGAGCTTGACTGCCATTAAAGGATTTAAATACATTTAATTAGTCTAATAGTTCACATAACAACACCATAGCCTCCGGTTCGTGTTTCCGAGAGTCATTTCGACAGGGTTTTTGGCTCGAGAACTTAATGTCTTCTCTGCTGAGCTTACTCTGAACGGAACATTATATGTTAGGCCAAGCTGCCTAAAAGTGAATCCAACCCGATCACGGTATAGATATCTATTTTTGAGACTTAATCCACTATAATGTGCACCCTCATTATTAGAGTATTTTCATAGATAGAATAAAATCTATCACATACTCTTTTTGTCCTTCTATTGTTTAGGTGTAAACCCAGTGCTTGTTGAAAGGTTTCCAATGCGTTGTGGTCTTTGTATCCATTGACAACACTGTAACCGGGCCGCAATCGTCCCTGACGATTATTCCTAGGCCTAGTCGGTACTCCCCTTGTAGTTAAACAAAGGATCGTTTAGTTCCAGCGCTAATAATTTCAATAGTTGTAATAATAGCATTCTGGAGTAGGACAAAGTCATTAATAGAAACGAAGCCTCGTTTAGTTTCGTAAGGTTTCAATGCTACGAGATATGTTTGCAATGGTGGTAGTAATCGCTACCTTGCTCCAACAGAGTTGATTTCAGGACTGAATCGGAGCAAACCGGTTTATACCTGCCAAGGTGTTTGCTTTGAGCCTGTTATATCGATGCTTGTAGCAGTCTTCTCTACAGTATTGTACGTCATATACCTCGATCGAATACGGCGGCACGGGGCAATAAGCGCTAAACGCTTTGTTGGTCGCTGGTTAATTTTGTTGAACTTGATTATGAAGATGCCGCTTTCTGCACGAGTATTGCACGCGTTAACGGCTAGAGTAAACTGAACAGTGAAGGATAAAGAAGGTACACCTCTGGGTGCCAGTTGAGCCGCTTCGTTTTCCATATGACTTTACCTGTGGTCTTCCTTTAAAGTCGGAAACATTCACCGTTAGCTGGGGGACACTCGACAGCTAACTCGAAGCTCGAGGCTAATGACCAACTTCTCAATCTGTCCTGCCCCATATCCATCTGACGAAGGACGAAACATCTACAGACAACTATCGGCGTGAATCACGATTATGGCCAGAAGGGCATACGCCACTCCAGCCACTGATGTCGCATTCTTTTGGCTAACAAAGGGTTAGCAGGCCAGACAGACTCAATCGCCTATCCAGCTAGTAAGCTGTAAGGGGCAAGCAGGAAACAAGGAGTAACTCCCATCAGTTGTTTTTTAAGCTTCGGTTACACGTCGCGCATTGACCATAGGAATGACGAGATACAGGTGACTTGAGATTTTCGCCAGCCGAGAATGATTACTACAATATTTCAACAATGTATCTGTTTATGCAGAGTTATTATTCAAACAATTTAACTAACTTACTAATTTAAAATTCGAGATTAACAAAGGACGCTTGGCCAATGTCTACGTAAAAGCTTCGATAATTTACGACTGTAAAATATGTTAGAAAGTAATGAGTCAAAAGACAAACATATCGTATAGAACGCCTGATGAAGTTTATTGAGAGTGCAAAGAGACCTTAAAAACAGAGACCTTAAACCTCAAAACAACCGGTATCAGTATTGATGTTAGCCGCCGTTAGATGTAAAATCATTGACCATTCAAAAATTGTACAAATTTGCAACTAGTGAAATTAAAGCAGGTAACACTTTCTTAAAAAAACTTCCTTAACTAGGGAAACTTTCTTAAGAAGCGTCCTTAAATTGAACTAGTGGTTTAATACAACAAGTTGACTTATCTAGCCCTCGTTATTTACGTTACTTTCTTGGGGATCCCGAAAATCGAATTACATATTCCTAAATGCAGTGTGTAATTTTCCATCCGACCTGTGGCTTCTTCTTGGCGGCCCACGTATAGGCCTGCGGTTATATCAAACATAAGTCAGCGCGGTCTTTTTTATCGAGTTTTGTTTATTGTACCGTACCCTAGGTCAAAATTGTATAGGGTCGTCTTGGTCTTCTGTTAGCGATGGCAGCCTTATAATCGATCACACAAAATCTGTAATAGTTAATTATTTTTATTGCGTACTTCCGTAAGCCTTGTAGGGTGTCTCAGTTACACCTACCGCATTTCTCGTATTGGCCTGCTTGTATAGAAAAGTTACTATTGAACTAGGTAGTGCGGTTGAAAATGATCAACTGCGTGATAGATTTATGATGTGTGGCTGTCCCTATTGGGATCAAGCAGATTAATTTACTTTATTATAGCTATGAGACGGACAGAAAATGAGTGAAGTACTTTTCGAATAGAAAAGTTAATTTTATGTTAGTTGAAAGCAAACTCCGAAAATCGGGAACACGGATGAGCTTTGAGAATAGTTAGCGAATCACTGAACAAAAAAAGTTCCGAGTCAGCGGCGGTCTTCGAAATAGCTTTCGAGGAAGAATTTTGAAGGTTCAGTGTACACAGCAATTTCGAATAGCTGACAAGGGAAAAATCATAGGGGAAGGTTATATTGATTTAAGGTGGTTGGATTTAATAGTTGTCAGGTGTTTGCTCTTGACTCGTTGTCAAAGGGAACCCTAGTTCGTAAAGCTTATGACATGTCAGAAAGGAGAGTACGGCCAGAATAGCAGCAAGTTGCTCCTGCCCTGTCACTTCGAAGGGTTCCGACCGACGGATTGCGAATTTGTCGGGCCATGTCAGATACACTAAGGCTGATTCGGTTAGACTGGAAACTGCCTGCACGATCACGAGTGTGGCAAATGAAGACGTTTGCATAAAGATATTATGTAAAAGTCTATTCCAGCTACCGAGCCTGTACTGAAGAATAAATATGACAACCAATGTGTATTGGCACATTTTTCTTTAAATAGCCAACAAGCTTCTTAGTTGTAAGGAAAATACCATGTTGCTTCCGAATCATACATAATAAGCCAGTGGTTGAAAGAAGATAGACAATACTTGCGAATTGAGGAAGAAATAACGGCAACTTGGTCATGTCTAATTAACATAAAAAATGGATAATAACTATAATCAACCTCATTTTTACACCGCTAATCAATCCAAGTTGATCTCTGTTAACATTTTTGTGTAAAAAAGCCAAAAATCAGATGATATATACTCACAGTTTGTTTTCCCATAGAGCTCGAGCCAGGGACCAAGGTGCAATAAATAGCACAGGTAAGCCTGAAAGAGATCGAAAGTATATACATATTTAAAATTATTTTGTTGTCTATTGACATTTTTTTTTTTCGCTAAAACGGTTCGCGTTACCAATAACTGCCAAAATCTTAATCTGTAGTGTTCAGTTGCGGTAAGGTATCAAGGTTGCCTTAATTCATAATCATTACCATCTTAAGTACCGTAGTAAAAATCGATTGTAATAAGGATGCCATCGCCGGGCATCTGCATTGTAATAGGGCTAAGGGCGAGGGCATTCTCGCCCTTAGCCCTATTACGATGCTCGCATTTTTATATACGTTCATGCAACGGGTCAGCGTAACAGCGTAGCATGTAACGTGTCTGCCTGGTGATCTTCGGGCGACGCTGTGATGTGGGTTCGAACCCGGCCATAGACACACCTTATTTCGTACTAAAAGCCAGCCGTTTGTTGAAATATAGAGCCATATAATCAAAATTATGGCTCATATAATAATAGTACGGATACTTAAATAGCATCAATCGAAGGAAGCTTTCGAAGAGAAACTATCGGCAGCGTGTCAATGTGAGTCTGCAGTTGTACCGTATAACGCAGGTCATTCAATATACGAGATATAAATACATATTTCTATCCGCTTGGGACTGGACTGGTAATTTGGTTGGGTAGAGATCTCTCCTCAAATGGTGCATTTATTCCTTTATTATTTATTTAATAAATATGCACACGTTTCATCAGCTTCTCTTGTATGAACAATCATAGCATAATAGAACGCCAAGTCAACTTATATAGCAGTTTTTTGCCGATTGGGCAAAGGAAACGAAACCCCCTTGCTAATATATGTCTATTGTTTTGAACGAAGACTCATTATGCTAGTAAACGAAGATGCATAGATGAGATGAAAGTATAGGCAGAAAATTTACCCATGGGAGCTTTGGTTTCGATTCAGTAAACAGTATTAGATTATACTACTTACTTTCGAACCTCGGAAACGAGCACTTTGACTTCAAGCATACTTAACTTACCAACGGACGAATATGTTGAAATTCTGAGTTAATTTGGTAGTTATGACCACAATGTTATATAAGGACAAATTAGGAGACCCAGTAGGCGCGCTAATGTGCCATTCTTAAACCTAGGCTTTCTAATAATCCTAACATCTTAAATGGGGACACTTTCGTGCCCAATGCCTTTAAAATTCAGCGAGCTGTGATGTCTTCTCAGTTTTACATAGGTTCATATATAATAGGCCGCGCGTCTCCTGTATGCATGCTAATCAACAGAGATATCCACATATAAATACCAGACGTTTTATATATGTGTCTTACTAAAACCGTAGTAATATATAGCAGCGGTCGTTTTAAATCATCAGAGATGGAAGAAATAAACAGAATGCACAGTGCGTTCTCCTTCGCAGTCAGCGGACAATTTCTGCTACGACAGAACCTTGAATGTAGTAAAATGGTATTTTTACCAAAAAGGCTTACTATCGTCTCATTAGTAAGGACAATTAGTGGGGATGTTTTGTGCGCTGACTGGATGCGCGTCCGCTTCTCTAACAAGGACATGCGATCTGCGCCCAGGCAATGCTCGTGTTCAGTACGCTGTTTAATAGAATTAGTCTTTTCTATACTAGGTAATATAACCTTCTAGTGGTAATATTATTGCCCACTAGGTTAAGCAACTATATCCGTATAGCTCATATTGATAGGCGCATGTTTAGAGACATTGACATGGTTATTATGGCCTAACAAAAATTATATTTCAACATTATTAATTGAATGCCCTTTTGGACTGATATTTACTCATATAAAACAGAGAAATATTGTCGGAAAATAATTTTGGTGAGCTTTATATATAGACTTGTTTCGGAAAAACACGCCCGCTCAAGTCTTCACTCACGACTACCTAACCAAGATATAAACGAAGCGTCGAAACCCTGCTTAACGTCAGTTCAAAAGCCAGCGACAAATACACGACCGTACACTCTTAGACGAATTTAATTTCAGGACATATTTCCTTCAGGTTCAGGATATTCATTTCAGGGCCCCGCTTCTAGCTTATACTGCTGGAATTTTAGATGGTTTGTTTTTTTAAGTTTTAGCGGCCTAAAGATGATCTCCCACCGAAAAAAACTGATCTGCCCATTCTACAGACGGGAAAAGAGAAATTCGAAGAAAATAACTACTTCCTGCAGTTTTTTTTCAACTGCGTATAGAACGCATACACGACTGTATATATAACGACTCTGCCTATTGAATACGACCCAACCTGGTTGGTAAGCATGCATCTTGTTGGTTCCTGTGCACTCCGTGACAATCTCGAGAATGTCAAAGTAAACAAGTTTATGTAACATACTAAAGTCGCCAGCCAGTATTTTGATATCTGAAACATAATAACGCTAGATACAGTCTTTATAAATAAAAAGGTAAAGATCAACGCTAAGTTCTCCTATATACTGAGAAAGGTTTCTATTCTGTTCATCGAGATTTATTTCCTAAAATGTTTCAATAGATATTTAATAAAGAGCCTTTTATCGGAACACTAATCGTAGACAAGTACTTTACAAGTTCCATTATTAAATAGTGCGCACGAAATCATTGACGAACTTTGTTTGGTATATTTAACTTGAGAGCGGTAGCACCTACTTTAAAATAGGCTTCTAAGTAGATTTTTCAGCAGTTTACAGGGAAGTTCTTCTCCGTACTTGTTTGTGCGCAAATTAATTTACGGCCCAATTGCCTCGTGGCAAAAGTACAAGTGAAAAGAAAAATAAATGTTTATAGAAAAAGATGCCAATTGGCCGAGGGCAAAACTATGACATTTAGAAAAATGACAATTGCATTTATTAATTTAATCGATATTCTGGAAGTTTTTGATCGGATTTTTTTACTGGTTACGAAGTTCTTTTGCTTTATTGCTGCTAACTCTGATTTTAGAAGATGGAATTGACAGCGGTTCAAGCTTCCTATGATCTGACAGGGATACCGTTACGAATTTGAGAGTATCCATATATTTAAGCGCATCGTTACATGACAAAAAGGACACGAAGAGTTACGGGCATCGATTCGTGATTACATAAGTTTATTCCTCGCAGCGCGTAATTTTCTTGATTACAGATGAATTAAATAAAACCATCCTTGTAAGCTTTAGTAAAATAAGCGCCCATCATCATCATCATCAAGATGCAGAAAATTTTTTACAAAACGGAACGGAACAGTCAAATACAAACACGGATACAGTCATCCTTTCAACAGAGATCGATTAGAGTATAACAGCTGACCACTACTGGCAATATCCATAGCAGGCTCAACGCTACGATAAGCGAGCGCATGTCTTCCATGCAAACGAACAGTGACTAATGGTGCAGGCTTGATGCGTAACATGTATAGCTCGAATCTTCAGATCTGGCAGTTAATGAAGTTTCTGATACGGAAGACTCCGAATAATAATAGATAATTAGGCTGTACAACGACGTAATTCGAACGTTGACCAAACAACTACTTTGTTCTAGTTTTGAACAATTCAGTACTTTTTTACAATGGTACACCAGATACTATCAGGTTTTACCTATTTCATTGCACCGAAACAAGCAACATTAAATCATCTTCTTATTTGAACAAAGAATGAATGGGTTGTGTGTGGTTTTTTATTTGATTAGGCAAAAAGCCTGATTCTACGTTGCCAGATGCACAAGTTCGCGAAGCTGTTTTTCTGTTATATGCCCGGTATCACGAAGCGCAATGCCCGGGTTCCAACCTAAACCACAATGTGATCTTGGCACTTGTAGGAAATTACGTTGCTACCATGCTATCACAAGCTTGTCTATAAAGTTGTCTGTTGGTCACAAGCTACCCTACTTTGGCCAGCGTTTCGATGAACTTTGTGAACGCAGCGCATAGGTCCGTGTTGTACAAGTATACAGTGATATATATATATATATATAGTCCACAAAAGGGTCAATAGAAGTTGCAAACTCATATTGTTTTGTGCGTTTCTAGTGTCAATGTGCGATAATTAAAATGAACTTTTACAGTATCTAATGTAACGAACAGAACGATGCTTACGAAGCTTATATAAATTAGGGTAAATAGTTGTAGTTGAGTAGAAAGAAGAGCATGTTCATCGCGTATCTGAAGCCAGGCAATAAAAATCGCGGCTATTGCCTAAAAAGCCGCTCAAGATGGATTATATATAACGGTCACGGTTACAGTGGTCGATTATTATTTGGACCTAGGCGCGATTATCGTAACCTAATTATTAATTATGCCTTGTATAATTCTACGCTAAAGAAAATTATAAGGACTCGTCGCATCTTGAGTAGCCACTGATGCCGCAGCTTAAGCAGGTTTCCGAGAAGAATTTGAAGGCCTCCACAATCGAGCCGTATATTGAAGACAAAATGCGACCGAGTACAATCTACCCAAAGCTAAATGCTCTTACGAATCATTTTTAGGTACTGCATGGAAAATGCACGGACGTTAAATTGATCGTGTGATCAATCGCTAAAGTGATCGGGGAATCAAGCTAAGCGCAGGCGCTTATGTCGAGCGTTACTACACTGATATTTGCAGACCCAAGGGTGCTAGCTTTCTTCGTAGAGAATGGGTTAACAAAAGACAGGTTTACTCTGTGCAGCGCCGTTGAAATATCGTGATTACGTTTTTCAAATGATTGATGACCTTAAACTTTTCTAGCCCTGTCTGAAGTATCTTTTTAAAGTACAAAACGATGGAAGACTTGCTTTGGAGCAGGCATCGTGGGCTAGCGCTCCTGCCCATGTTGATTATGTGGGAAGCCTTTGCTTACCGTGAGACAAAACGGTCTGTCAATTTGTAGGCTCGTGCAAGACCGAAGTCACCGACGTCAAGCATTATATCATAGATTCAATGTAGGTAGGAATAAGCAATTGTAAGATTGGAGAAATGGTTGCTCCGAGATAGATGCCTAATTTTTATTCGTCATGTGTCCTAGAAATGCGTCACTTCATTCGTTCGGCTTATGCTTTTGTACGTGCCGGTAAAGATAATATGACCATCTACTAAAAGTCTCAACCAAAACGTCTCTACATAATTTGAAGTATAACATTGTTCTTCCTTATTTAATGAATATATATATATATAGAGAGAGAAAAGAACTATAGACAAAGCATCAGCTGAACACGGAATATATAGATATATATATATAAAAAGACAAAAAAATAGTTCACTATTGCGGTACGGTATGACCTGGGTGCGTTTCAGCATGGTCCATCTTCGAGCACTTTATAATGAAAAACACTGTTCGACTTATGGCCGTCGTTTCAGAAATGCTCGCGGCGACCGTTGCATTATCTGAAACTGAACTACTACCAAGAACGTTGTCAACCCGATTGCAGCAGTATATATATATATATATATATATATATAATCATGTTTCTTTTAAATTTAATCCCGATAATTTTGTCCGAATAGGAATAGTTAGTGGCCTTAAATACAGAATACAACTATATTGAATTGCTGAGTTGGCTAATCTTTTCGAGATATTCGATGTTTTGTAATTTTACCTTTTTACAACGGAGATGTTATCTAAAGGAATGAGGTTCGCAGGACTATTTTCTTTTAAAAATCTTTAATTTCTGTTTTTCTTATTATTAATAGTAACGTTTTCTAGTATTTTGATATATTAGAAAAATACGAAACTTCGACACATAATCTCCCATTCGAAAATGATTGAGTCGTTTATTCCGGATTGATAAGTATTTATTTCCCAAATCAAGTTGTCCCCCTACGAAGTGAATTTTGTGGACGGACAACACTTATGGCACCGTTTTCTTAAACGCTCAAAATGTTTCTCAAATTCAACAGTTGGGACAGCCTCCATTTCAGTCAGCGACTTTCCTTATATTTTTTCTGTTAGATCTCAAACTCTTCCTAGATTTGGGAATAGGAAAAAGTCTGAAGGCAGTGGGTCTGATAATTACAGGCACTAAATTAATACACGCATCGAGTTGTTTTGCGACAACTGCCATACGGGTATAATGAAGTGTGCGCCTGGTCGTTGTCGTGACGAAGGACCCAGAACTTGTTGTACTATAGTTCTGGTCTCTTGCATCAGGCATTCTCGCGTAATCTTCTTAAAACGTCTTGATAGTGCTGCCTGGTGACCGTGGAGCTGAACAGTATGAACTCATGATGATCGAGTCCTCGATGATCGTGGAAACCATCTAAGTTTTTGACCTACTTTTTTAGGCACAGGTTCGTTGTTAAACTTATACTTGCTAGGTTGCTTCTTGATCCCCTCGTCGTAGCCGCATGTTCCCATCAGGTCACCCGTAATAACTTATTCAAGGAAAGCTGGTCCTTCTAGAAGTGCCAAAAATCTTTTTGACACAGCTCTTTACGGGATTTTTTTGCACGTACGCTACTCTATTTAAAAAAAAAAAGCGCAAAACGCAAAGAAACTAAATCTGACTGGAAAAATCAGGAAAGCTGCACCCATTCTGATGACTCAATGATGAATTTGTTAATAAATTTACGTAAAAGTGCTTCTAATTGAATCAACCCCTTTACGCAAATATATCAGACTTATACAACAAATACTAATATTTATGTTAGATGCAATAGCAACATATCCGATCATATATGTATGTATAAACATATTTGGATGACATTTTTTTTATATGCATTAATAGGGATATCCCTGACGGACGTATTTACAAAACGTAACTGTTCATGGTTTATATCTCTAATAGTGCTCTGATCGGCATGCCGTTGTCATGTCAAGCCCTATCATTCCGTTAAACTTTCACTTGATTGTACCTATATGTAGTACTACATAGAGGTACGGTAAGGATGCGGTAACGATTATGGTTTTTAGAATATTTAGATCATCCTTGGTGACGAATGAACTCGTTACTGGGCATAGTCTCTATAACGTAGGGTTCCTACAATGGGGACATCTTCCAAATCGTTCTCATGGCTGATTTCCGCAGATGATGTATTTTTTCGTCGCTAAAGAATCAATGACGGCCTGAGAAGAAGAGAGGAGCGAACCACTCCGATCACGTCACTTGGCTTTCTTTCTCGCGGAGAGCTGTGGCCTGTCTTTAACATCATAAAAGCTGTACCTAAGGCTTGAGTTATTCACGAAAGCCTTAAGTTATTAAGCGCTACATTCGCATCTACGTTAAACTTACTCGACAAGGCGAGCATTTAAAGACCAGGTTCATCAAAGATGCTGCTTTGTACCTTTTTCGTTGCTAGCGGCGTCGACAAGCTTTCAACGTGATTTGCTGTATAGGAGCCCCCTTTTGTTTAATCAGCAGCCGAACAGTCGGTCGCAACGCTAAAAAGCGTCGAATTTGCATAACCGAGGAAGCTCATAATGTCGATGAGGGTTTATACGACGCAAACACATTGGGTCTCGGCTAAATTTAGCGCATATTCCAGAGATGGACCCCCAGGCCGTTTGGGGTTCTTTAACGGGCTTATGCATACTCGATAATATGGCCAGGTCTCCAAAAATCGTCTTAATTCACCCCGAACGTTTCGGACAAGTATACGAAATAAGGTAAACAGGAGCGGTTCCTTTAGGCTCCTATATAATATACAAATGTAATACATTATCGGAAAAAATTAACGAAAAGAACCATGATCGAAAACGAAATATCAAATTGAAAGTGGTCTGATTTTTTTCTGTGACTTTCAGTGCTGATAATTTGACATAGCCTCACATCCATGTCATGCATACTGGTCTGAAATAAGAAACAAAATGATTTCAAGTGAAGTGTTTACTGAAGGTTATCGTAGAAATATCGTTTTGATCCCATTGCTTTTCATCCGGTGCCATCTATATAAGTGTCTGTTATTTGTTTTTACACACAAAGTAAGTCATTTGCATTACTGACGTCTTCTGAGAAGCGAAAGTAGTCCGAGTTCTTCAACGTTAGAGTAGCTTAGTCGGCTGCTGAGGTGTAGAGGTGCTTGCACAAAATGACCTCAATCAACTACGATCATTATGATATTCTTTCGGATCAACTGGCATAAGCCATACCCTGAGCAGAAATGTTTACAAGGCTAAGATGTAATCTTGAGAAAATGACTCTTGTACTCGTTCTCGAAGATAATCTTATCTATCCCTGTCTTGAAATTGATACATTGTTACGTACTTATAGGATACTGTGATAGTAAAAAAGATATCCGCGGACCCGATGTCGGCCTAAACTCGACACGAGGCTAGCTACGTAGACATCGCGTTTCGCGTTTTAGCGCGTCTTCGAAACTAGAATGCTAAGTTTAAGTGCATGTCAGTGAAAAAAAAAAAACATACTTACGTTTCAAATATGATTCGGTCAAACAGTGCAAGCTCACCACTGTTAATGAGCGACGATGCGCGGTCGTTTATTGAGCTCAATTATAGCCTTACTTGGTTAGGGTAAGACAGTAGAAGGGTGTTCGTAAATGATCCGCGTTCAAACTTAGGGAAGTTACTTTGCCAATAATTAAAGGGTTGGCCAAGCAATGGCTTTCCTTTCGTTTGTTACATTGGATGATAATGAACTCAGCATACGAGTAATGTAAAATTAGTCAACATTATTTGCATTAAGTTAGGAAAATAAATGCCTGTCGGAACAGTTAGTGGCATGAAGTAGGAAGGTCATCAATGCGTGGCCAAAGACCTTCACTACAGCTCTTCTATATGTATTAAACAATTCATTTACATTTTATGTTTATGGGTCAATTGAATTGAATTGGGGCAAAATTTTGCTCTATTGGCCTAAATTTTTTGCCTATAGAGATTATAGTTTGGAAGTGCTCTTGGTAATGCATGATTCTAATAGCATATCTATGAGCAAAATAGACACACAACAAGGTATCGCAATAATACTTTTTCCATGGTGTATGTTTACGTACCAAGATGATGTCTCGTTGGATGATTAAATCCATATATACATGTAGCATACAGGAAAATGATATCAGCTAACGATAACCGAGCAGATTTATTACGTTGTGTAAACAGGCTTGTCCTATAGGCAGTGTCAAGCATCTCGAATGCATAAGGGAGAACAGCTTTTTTTCTCGAAAATTTCGCTTATATCAACTGATTTTTGAGGCCCATAAGGTCTTAGCAGTTCAGCGTGTTAGCTTTATCTGTTGCGCATACTTATGGAGTACTTTTTATGGAGAGTCAGTCACGAGTGAAATTTTGGTCAAACACAAGCTTCCGTGTCGAACTGATGGTACCAACCCCATCCCATGATGGTATACTTCGATATACTCGAAGGATCGTTGCCAAGCGAATGAAAGACGAGACTATGCAAGTAGAGGCCTTCCATAAGGATCCAGCAGTAATTAGCCATTAGTGTATAGTGAAACATTGCCAGAAAGAGCTTGCAGCAGATACTCTGAAATAGAGTTGAATTGTTATTACCCAACAATTGTCATGAACATTACATTATCTGTTTATGTAAGCGCACCTCTCTAAACAACGTGACAGTAATTACTGTTAGATAGAAGGCTTTCGCATTAACGATTCCTCCAGTCTTTTTTTAATTTAAAAAAAAAATGTTAGGGGAAATTTTAAAAACAAAGCCTCTACTGAATATTGTCACGTGCCCCCTTCTAGGCTGCACAAACCTTCTGGTTATCATCAAAAGTGCCGTAGAGGCCAACTCCAGAAATAAACATCCGATCCTTCAGAAGGAAAATGGCCGCTCGTAGAATAAATGATGTGAAGAGATTCATATGGAGGCAGTTTCGAGGGCACCGCAAACGTCTGAAAGAGACAAAAGTACATTAATGGATTATACATTGCGCCTTTACATGGTCGATAAATATAATTTAGTTTTAAGTAGTAAACAATATACATTAGAAACGTTCTAGTCATGAATTTAACTTAGCCATGAATCACACTCGTTATTCATTTGCCCCTGAGAAAGGGTTAGGCTTAAGTGTGGGTTGGAAACATATGCAATTTTCATATTGGGGCGTATGTGTAATAAAAATAATAAGGAGAATGTTTTTTGCGCATCAACTCAAGTGCGATTCTTCTTAATACTGTGGCTGGTTGGCTTTGACAACGGTGTCTCGTTAAAGGTAAAACTTTGATGGACAAGATCCGACAATCACTAGAAAACTGCTTACGTTGTATTAAAAGCGATTCTTCTAATTACCGTCCATCTTATCTGTCATATTATCTAAATCCATCTTATCAATGGTCAGTGCTGTATAAAAGAATCAAAAAAATTCAAACGTATAAACAAACCATATAACATTAGGTTGTTACGAAACAAGATCGTACAAAGGTCGAGTGTTCTAAATGTTGTTGAGTGTAGACGTTAATTAATTGAACTTATATTTGTGCACTATACGCAGGGATATGCGAGATGGTCTAGATCTGAAATTTATCTCTATGATTTTTTTATCAGCTTTCTAGTACTAAATGTAGACCTTGAAACATTGACTTCGACTCGACGAGGTCAAATCAGTCTTCTACTAAGATAAACCCAAACAGGAAACTGACACTTAGAACCCATGAACAAACGGAAAGCAAATGATAAATGGTATAAACAGTAACTATTAGTAAGAATGCTAGAAGACGCATCTTTTGTTCTTGTGAAAACATACCTTTCTAGCACTATCCCACTTTTTGAAGGTTTGTCATATCTAAAAGTTGTCAAATTTGGGACACTCTAGTTGTCCCAACATCAACTGGATACCATCCTTCTAGGTTAAATCTATGTGAATTATTTCAGTGGCTTTTTGTGTTCAATTTGACTTTTTTCCTTCCATACGGTGTCGTGTCAATAGGTTGAGATGAGATCAAGGGATGCTTTTAACCCACAAGAAAAAAGAAGCAACGTTCTTTTTTTCTATGACAGCAACATATACGAGTATGTCTCAAGCAAAAAGACCATCTTGAAGTTGATGTTGATTTTCTACTTCTCTAAGAGAACTTTAAAGCTCTATGAGAAGACGAACTTGATAGAGATGAGGATGATCAGAGCGCAGATGAGACTCACGAGTGAAACTCCGTATCCTATGCGGGCCAAAAATTTAATCATACGGATATGCGGCTGAAAGTTCATATGAAAAATAAGAGTAACTTCATTGTAGAGTATTTGCATTTTTTTGGCGAGCTGAGAAAACGATATTCATTTCAAAATGCACGGTTTCAATATATAGACTACCTACTTTGCACAGCTAAATATAGTAGCCGATACAGAACCTCCTGTACACCGGCAAATGCGAAGTTACCTAAGCATTTATTTCTTCTATTATCTAGCGTATATAGCAAAATAAGATGCCGACAATTTTTCGTTCCTCTCATTTCCTGGAAAGAGAGGCCAAGTTTTTATAAGTTTATACCTATTTTTAGGTACGTTTATTCTAAACGCGCGGATCTCGAACACGATGAAGACATCTGATGGAAACCTTAAACACACGTTCATGTTCAAAAGACATAACGTTATAATGAACATACCTACGTTGTCTAGTTGGGAGTACGGCCTACAGTACCCGACACTTGAAGCAATATTATGATCGCCCAATGATTTTTCGATTCTCTCATCCAAACGTAACGCTTATTAATTTTTGTCGTAAATTATGTTAAAGTTGATGATGTTCAAAGCAAGACACAAGTACCGATTGACCATGCTGTACTGGCAGAACTTACTATACATATGTCGTAACTTGCACCAGCGATATAACACTTTGAGGGAAAATCATTCTGTCGCACTGTTGAAGTAGATCATGTTAGACAACATCGAAGTTATCTTATCGATATAGTTGGTTGCTAGATTATTATCTAATTTGTTGTTGAATGCACTCTTACTTATCCCAAAAGTACTTCATCGTTAATTTTTCAGGCTGATTTCCACATTATGCCGTACCTTGTCCCTGCCTAACGAGCTTCCTTCTGTGATTCCGAAATCATATCTTAAGGGGTACACGATCAACTACTGGAGAACGAAACCGTTTGCTAGACGCAAACGAACCATGAAGGCGGTGAGCGATAGTTATACTTTTATAATTTACATTTTCCGGGATTTACATCTGTAATGAAAATTTCTGCAATGAATATCTGACAATACTGCTACATTTATACTGAATATTCTTTTTCGCGAGTACGGGTGGCCATACTGGTAAAAAAAAAAAAAAAAAAAGTATAATAATAAGGTATAATCCACATATTGCGCTTCATTGTAGGAGCTCGTTTGTAGATAGTATGAATCCCAAAGCCACAGTGAAATTGGACGTTACCGTTGTTAGAGACTGGCTAGTTGCCGCCTTTCATTTGATCGGTTCACTGGTAAATGGCATCGAATTCGAAAAAAAATATGATTTATCCACACAGCAAAAGTAGTTTTCTTTAAATTATATTGCGTTTACTCAACAAATCCTGCGAGCTCTATTAATCATTGGGCATGTAAATCTGCTTCAAGCTCTAAGGGTTCATTTCATTCAGCCAAACTATCAAGTGGTTCACTGTGAAAGGGACTTTTCAGCACCCGCAGCATAAAGTAAACGGCTTATAATGCTAGAAATGATCACGTCTCCTAGTTAGCAGCGACGTAAAAATTATAGGACGACAGTCATAACGCAATCCAGCTAGTTACTAGACAGATTGTTTGAGAGCTTCGATCCATTAGCACAACTTTGCTATCTAGAAACATGAAACTGTTGGAAGACAAGAAAAAATGCATTGAATTTTGTCTTGTCACCTGTTCGGTGCTTTCAGTCAATTTTTTTTTTGTTTTTTTAATCCATAGTTTAAGTAAAAGGAACTTTAGGATCAGAGACAACTTTCTTGCTAACTCGTTGCTATAATACGCAAGGTAAGCATAGGCTCATAGTCGAGCAGTGAGTAGTGCAATTTGCATGATAAAATCCGAGTGCTCGTTCATCTCACTCAAAGATTTGTGCTTCCGGTTTTCCTTAAAGGAGTTATAAGAAATAAGTCAATATCAAGGAGCGTACGCTTGTTTGAATGAAACAATACTACTAGCAACATGAGATACAGTTGAATAGTTACTATACGACATTTTCTTCGAACTCTGCATTTTTCACCTGCGTGTATTACGTTTAGTAACTGTCAACACGATATCAGCTATGTTAGCCAAGTTAAATTTCAGGAACACATGTTTTTACTATAGTGATCCTGCACTCCGTAGTAGAGAACGAACGAAGTTACCGAAACGATGAATGGCCTAAAAGCCGACGTATCGAACTGCCCGCGGTGTTTTCCATTTTTTTTTTTTCGGTCTGGTAAGTAATACAAATAAACTGGTCCTTAAAAGCGTACTCAGGTCTAGAATATGCACATACGTAATGAGCTTCAATATGGCAGGTGTTGTCCGATTGAGACAAAATAATCCAATTGGAATTACAAGCTTTGCCTGAGATACGACTATTCCCCTTTAAAAACGAACATCTTTGTCTTTCCGTTTATTTTTCACCGTTTTTTTTTTTTTTTTTTTTTTTATTAGCTTTTCTGTGCTATCCTTATCGCGCTGGTTACAAGTCTTGCTCCTTAGTTTACCACTTTGTTTTCAGGCTGAAAGATGCCTGCTGACGGTGGTGAGGAAGAGGCCTTGTTTGTTCTTAGACAAAAACAGAAGCAATAAGTAAAAGAGCATACGAGTGTTAAAGGTAGATCCTCTGTTCGCCTTCTTTCACGACACTTTCACCTTTATCGACTTTGAAGAGGGCCTAGATGTTTTTCCACGTGGTTCCGTTGCGTCCGCATGGCCGTTCTGTTTAAATGGCGCATGTTTAGTCCCGTCTTGTTTCGGCCTTCGGAAGATAAGGCGCCACGCGTCCAAAACTTACGCGCTACTAAAAAAACTTACTAGCTCTTTGCATTATCATGGTAGCTACCGATACGGTCGATAAAATACTTGTAAGTTGCTTGCGAGCTAAGCAAAGAGGAAAAACAGCAGCTACACTTATGTGCAAATGAGTGAAATGATGTGTGACAACAGCTACTGCAATAGGGAAACAACGAGGCATACTACGACGATGCTACAGTGCAATGATAGACATACAACAGAGAAAAGGATACACAAAGCTTCAAATAGAGACAAAGAATGAGCGCTTAGGACGGTGGTATACGTCTTGTAGCTAACGATGCAATTACTGCGGGCAAAACTGTTATTTAATATAGCTCGACCGGGCTATTAGATATCAATAATACTTGAAAGATCTTTGGAATTTGAGAGACCATTGGGAATTTTTTTCGGCATCCTCTATAATAGTCAGCCATCTCCTTGCATATTCCTAATATTCTCTGCACTCTGTCTGCGTTTTCACTCAGCGGAAATAGTAGGGTATCCCTAGAAGGGAAGGTGGCTGTCCATCAAAACCTTGACGTCGATCGATATCCTTCTACCGTCTTGCTATGCCTTTAAATGATCCTTTGCTTTGGACTACTGACTGTCAATAGCCACGCTTCTTAGCCCCAAGCCTTGACAAACAACACACCTGTCCATTATCTTTTTTGGGCCTCGACATCTTGAAGAGGCTTGAGAAAAAAATGAAATAACCTTGAAAAAAAAACAAAATAGTTGTAGCATCTCCCGTAACGTTTCTTGGACGTTTGTGTGATACAAAATTATTAATTAGATACAAACCTAAAGTCGCTTGGGACTGTTTTTGCTTGCGTAACACTGCTTGATTTCTTTAACGCTGTATAAAAGCCCACTTACAAGCAAATAGTTTGAAACGTCACCTCCGTATGTGAGCCTTGCAGTATACTAACCCGGCTGACACTTCGGAGTTGCGCCGTTTTCACATCACGAATCATGCAGCTGTCAATAGCTTAATCTTAGCAACAAGTCAGTCGCTTGATCTCTGAGCTCCTATACACTCTATCTCCGCGATGACCTTTCCTTAAGACCGACAATCATGGCACACTCCTCGCTTTTTCTGAAGAAAAGCGTTCCCGAACAATGTAACACCAATCGTCCTCGAGTAAGTGTAGCCAGAGAAATTGACTGGAGTCATTGGATTGAGGTAATCCATCAAAATGTCGGATTTACAGGATTTCTTCGCAACTCGAGAGACATGTTTGAACTCTAACGGCAGCCCGTCTAATTTTTTTTTACAGACCCTAATAAGGAGTCTCGTTCGTGACAATCGTGCGTGCATAGGGCCAGGTGTTGCTTTGTTAATCTTCACTAAAGCGAGTGTACCCTTCACCCTTTTCACGCGACAGTGCGCTCAGCAGATGCTTTAATGCGAACTTTCCGAAGCAAGCCTTAGCGAAATCTGGGAAATATCCGCAAAAAATCTGTAATAATATTAATGGCAAATGCCATTGTCTTTAAACCGCCTATCCACTACCCTAATTTTGCGTAGCTTAAAGAAGGCTTTCATACACCCTCCAGTCAAGGGCAACCCCTAGTTTCTTTCAGTTAGATGAACGTTCGTCAGCTGCCTTATTCCGTAGTTTTTCAAGCGAGATCTAACGATTGGGTAAAGGCCACCAGGAAAAAAAATACTAACAGGAGGCTGAAATATTGGGTCTTATAAAAAAAAAAAAACAACACATACTGAACTTGTAACACGACATAAAACTATCTTTCATAGACTCGGCGTCTGTAAATAAAATTCAGTCATGCGCATAATTTAGAAATACAGATATTATAGCTGGTCGGAGATTAATAGAAGTGAAGGACGTTTGTTTGCGCGCGTAGGCCGAGATACAGCGTGACACATTGAACATCATCATGCCCACGTTCTCAATGATTCGTACAGCTCATCGCATATAGCAGTTTCCTGACCTATGAGGAGTTATTGAGATGCATAGGTCGCGCTGTTTTTAAGCCGCTGAGTTTCGGTAAAATTTTAGCAGATACGCATCTCCATAACAGTATATCTATGTCGAGTGCAAACTATCTCTAGACATACAAAATTGACTGCCATGCGATAAGGAACATTTCCATTTCAATGCTCATTCATTCTTTACCGAAAGCTCAGTTATTCACGAAAACTACGTACCTGAAAGGCTTCAATGGTGTTGATATGATCCTGTGTTGCAAGAGTGCACATCGTGTAGTTCGTGAACAAAGGTCCTATTGGAGTTATTTTGACCAGTGTCCACGTTCCATTGTCTCCGCAGGTACGACTGGCGAACTCTGAAATTATTTTAACAAGCACCGAATGTGGAAATTTGTTTGCTATCCTCATGCACTGTAACTAGGTTCCAGTAAGTACCCCTCTAGGGTCACCCCTCTAAACATGGCTAAAGTAAAATCGAGCCAAATTATAGCTACATACCAACAAGAAATATTCACGTGTAAGGAGATGTGCGTGAGGCAGCGGTTTCTCTAATCGACCTAATTTTTTATTATTATTATCATCAGCAGCAGCTATTCGGTTAAATAGATTCAACATTTCGCGCGGATGTGTTGCTGCTGCGTCTTGTTTTATGATGAAAAGCTTGCTTACGTGAAGTGTCAAAGGCATAGAGCATATCGGGACACCTTAGCTGAACACTCTGGCTAGCAGGAGAAGACGGCCAACACAGAAAACCATCCCATTCTCTTGGGCAGCGATCGAAGGATGTCACTTCATTGAATTCTGAAATAAACGTATTTAGATTAATAAGCAAATAAATAATTTCTGATAAATAAAATAACTTTTAATAAACGAAAGAAGTATATTTTTCCAGCGGGTTAATATTAATTAGTAATTCAACAATTCCATATATCGCGTACACACGTTTGAGTAAACGAAGACGACGTTGTTTGCCGACATCGAGCTAAGTAACGTTTTGTTCTGTGCCTCCACCGTTATGCGTCAAGCAATCACTTGAATTTTACGATAGCTCCAAGTTTTTTGGCGTTTTTGTTAGGAAGCCTTTATCTTGCTCCAATAAGTAAATAATTAAAAATGCTATGAGATGCGACCATCTTAATTCGCGAATACTGATTGAGGCTTCGTCACCCTTAATTCAATAGGAATTCAATAGAATTTGATTGTTGCGGGAGTTGATGACGGTGTCCCGCCCATCTGTATATATAAACGTATGCCACTAGCTCGCTTCACTTCGCAGGCCGAATTTATACGGCAGCGAAACGAATAGGCTACCATCAAAATGAAGGAAGTTTATAGATACTAACGATGCAAGATTCAATTGAAAGTAAAACAACTAAGGTTGTAAAATGTTGAGAATTTACTAGGTCGCATCTTATTCTAAACGATCTATTTAATAGATATCTATAACGAGCTTTTGGATTTCTATCGACGACAAAGGCTGGGTCGAAATGTAAACTATAGTCGGCTAGTGCGCGATAGCTATTCGAGTTCCAACTAGAGTTGCCAGGGAAAACAGAACACAGCTGTTAGTTATGGTTCGAAGTACTGAAGAAAAACAAGAAGACAAACGCTAACGTGAAAATATATTGGAGGCGAGCCAAAAGTTTCGTAATGGGTCTTCAACTAAATGGGCTCTTAATGGGGTATATAATCGTTACAAATGCCAGCGCTGTAGTGAAACTAAAGGCATTTATGTAATTGAAAATCACAGGTAAATACGATATGTCTATTGTTAATTTTAGCTTGGGAATTGTTGGCAAACGTGAGGTAACGTTGACCCAGTTGAAGGGTCCGACGTCCTTTGTTCGGATTTCGTTCCTTCCTCATCCATCACTTGACGGGCGACTGTGTCAGCAAGAAGGATAGAAACTCTGAAGACGTATACTCTACTACAATACAATACAATCATAATAATTCGCTTAAAAAGCTTCATGTTTGTAACGTATTTGTTTTATTAAAAAACCTCTTATATACCTTTATTTAATGTTTAGTTAAGGCAACTTTTCTGGCAATTAACTTGCAGTTTATTCGAATTTTAATATAAATTAAGTTATTTATCGAAGCGATTAATGGCTACATAATGCAAGTCGTTATAGGTAGCGCGTTAAGTAACTTAGGTGTAGTAGCGAAGATTTTCCAGAGGCAAACGATTTACATGACTATATATACAAGACAAGAACTTTCATCCATCAGTCTGCTCCTTTTATAGGACCAACTACCAAAGGGGCAACAAGGCTGCTACAAAAACATAGCCCTCGCGACACATGGCTAAATATTGCTTTGTAATAACTCCTGTTGGGTATTCGTTTGGTTAGTGAATCTCTGATAATAATAGTGATAAGACATAATAGATCGTACAGGGAATATATCGACGTATGTATAATACGCATGAGAGAACATTCCGAAGCCGGATAAATCTTGTTTACAAAAAGAGTGTATCCTAAGGTAGCTTACGGCTGAGGTAGAAGCGCCGATACGTTTAAACACTGAAGTGTTGGATTGCTAGGAATACCTAGCAAAACTATCTGTATCAGTTCGTATAGAGATGCCTTACACCGGCTTTTAATTAAAAGTTAGGGCTTAGACCCTAAGCAGCGTCTGTATTTTCTAGCTTGTAGCGCTGTCGAAACGTGTTGAAACAAATCACATGGATCAGGAGCGTCCCGAAAAAAAATAATTATTCTAACAGAAATAGATGTTGTTTCTTGTCGATTGTGATCGTTTAATTCAGGCTAAGAGCTTCATCAGGATCTGCACTTTTATATTTAAATGAGATTCGAAATTCTTTTGCAGCTTTGGAATAGCTGGCAGGTCCAATATCCCCTTACTATAAAGAGTTTACTATTGCACATATTTCAAAATAGGTTTTTTAATTAATTTAAATTATTAAATTAAAGCAGTTTATAGTATGAGTTGCCACAGTTTCAAGTTCAGGAGGTTTGAAGGTACATGATTATACAGAAGGCCAATCGTACTTTATTTTCACACAGTTTCACTGTGTTTCTTCGGTGAATAAGTGTCTACGTCGTATCGCATCTTTCAGAGCCAAAATTTGAAAAAAAAACTAGCATATAACCTACGTAAATATACATTTATATAAAAATACCGAAAACATGTTCGACGGCTAGAATTGCTCTCAGGCTTGATCAACCTCAGTCAGGCTGCATACGTTTTCACACGTCCAGTAGCAGGTTTTGAGAGGTTCCCCTAAGAAGCATAACTTTTGTAGCACTCGATTGGCAAGCGCGTCATAAGGCGAATAGTTATACAAACAAAGGGCAAGTAGACATCAAGCATTTTGATTTAAATATTGTTTAATTTCGAGCATTATATATCAGTGTTATAAGGGCACATAATCGGATTGCGTATCATTCAACCGATAAAGTAAACAATAGCAATATTTGCGCTATTAGCTTGAACTATTGTCAGATCGTCTAAAGCTATTCAGTAAGTTGAAACATTTAGATAATTTTTAAATAACAGCTCATTTAGAATAAATAATTACATGAAATCTTCGTGAATCTACGACTATGAGCTAATTGAATAGCATAACAGAAAAATATAGTCAACCACAAGGCGGTTAAGTTTATCGTCAAGTAAGTTTACCGAAGAATAATGAAAAGTTCAGCGGAAAAAAAAATAGTACATCGGTTTATCGAGGATTATTCAAAAGATAACCATGTTTCCGGAACTCGAACAAAAGAACGGGTCGCCATCATCACGGAAACTTTTGAGCAAGACAGAGCGATCCCCATCGGTTTAGTATGGGACTCCTCGAAGCACCTGTTGTGAAACTTAATAAAAATGAAAAAGAAAAGCATATGAAAAAAATAGGTAACATTCTAACGTTAATTTTGTAAAATAAAGATTTAGCCATTGAGAGATGCAGCAAAAAAACAACATATCTATCCCTAAATTCTGTGTTGTGTAGTGATCCTCAGTTACCTTATATTCGAAAGAATATAATAACTTCGTAAGTATCGGATGGTGGTGCTTAGTTTAAAATCTATTTCTACATATCAACAAATATCTCTGGAGAGCCTAATCGAGTTGCAACCTTTTGCGGCATATTTAGCGTTTTATAAATGTTATTCCTGGCCACCCCATGTATGATGCTTTACGTTGGACTCCTATCACCGGTCGACCTTTTCATTAATCATTTAAGAAGTTCCAACGTAACTTAAATTATGCCGTAACCTAATACGAATTGAGTTTGCACGTATACCTTAATCAGTAAACGTAATAAATACCACTTGTGGTTTTTAAGAAGCACAAAAATATTTTTAAGCGTAAGAAGACAGGTTGCCTTACCCCTCGTCCACAATCGGCTTGTAGTGCTTCGGAGTTCCTTGGACCTTACTGTTAAGGAAGCCATGTGATGACCTCATAGACACGTAACCTCCCATATATGTCTCTCTCGAATTGTTGGCATACGCTGGTATTTTTTGTATGTAGGACACACGTCTTCCTTCTGCTAGGTCCTTTTAGTGATTAGATGCCTCAGATCATAGCCGTCATTATTAGTATGCAAATTCGTACCCTCTGCATCATTTGTTCCTGTATTTTTAGTGGGCTCAGTCTTCTCTCGCTTCTTACGTTTTTGACTTCGCTTGCCGCACGAGGACCGTAAATCAGCAGATCTATAGCCTGCATTCAGCTCTTAACTGTGGCTCCTAACGCTCTTTTTGTAAAATAGATCTATTGATTTGGACATGCGACCTATATAAGACCTGTTTTCGATACTAATCTCATTACTCCTTCAGCCATCACCATTACATTTAAACTCGAAGTCTATCAATTTTTTCGGCGGCACAAATAAGCAACAAAACAATTGCTAGCACAAAATTACCTCCAGCTAATTTGCAATGGAATTGGAAAAACATGATCATCAAGTAATCAACTAAATTCATTAATCGTTATTCCCAAACCAGTGGTGCAAAAACAGAATTTTGTGAGACCATGTGGCTTACGCCCTCTGTAGTATGGAAATCTTTTGACTTTTGGCCACTGTTTTGTTTGCTACCAACAATGCATACGTCTGCATAGTCGCTTTGGCAATGAGAAACAATGTCAGTTGCGAGGTATTTCTCGTTCTTGAAAAGAGCACAAAACTTTTTAGGAAAAGTCCGCTTGCCGTGCTTCAAAAATCGAACCCTGTTAAGAGCTCAGCAATTGAATTTTTTGCGTCTATAACAAATTCTTCGCTTCTTCTAATGTTATTTCTGTTGGTATAACTTTCCGTTTTCACGCTCACACCGAACAAGGTCCACGTGAAATATTAAAAAACTGAGTTTTTTTGCGTAAAATACAAAGAAGCAACGAGTACGAATCTTCTTTGAAACAAGATCTATGGACGAAGAGAGGAAAAACGAACGCTTGAGTTTTATCGGACTATGAAATAGTTGGCCATTACATATACGAATGGCCTAAATAGGGGTGCATCTCTTTAAAAGGACTCCAAAAGATAATCTCCATCCTTAAAGACAGAAGAAACACGGGCCTTAATTAAAAAGCTACTGACAGCACCATAATTCTTTTTTCTTTTTTAGCAGTTATATTTGTAATCTACAACCGACTCCAGCTACTTCAGTAAAAAATTAATAACATATATAGCTTATTAAATAAAAATTTCCTATGGAGGGGATTCTCTATGTCGAGAAATAGCAGACGTAAGCGTCCTTACTGCATTCGTCGAGGTCTAGCTTGGCTCGGAAGAAAGAACCTAGTACAAGATTTGTACACCTAACTCCGTATCCCACCTC